GTTAACATTTAAACAAAATTCAGGTCAAACTTTCTTTCACTTTCCTTCTGCATTCCCATGTCTGTACCTAGAAATACCTCTTTGGGATCTAATTCAAAGGTTCTTGCCTTCCCTCAATGAACATCCCTATGTTCTTTAGCCCATATTATATTTCTTATTCAACATTTTTACACTGATAATATCACACAAGTGAAGACTACTATGGCTATTTAATGGGTATATATTTTCTTCTCCTAAATGAAAGAATAACTCTTACAAGTAGCCCTCAACGTACAACAGCATTTAACTCCAACAGTTCGATCTTAATTGGATTTTTTTTGGCTTGTTTGTTTTCATGATGATTTATTGCCTTTTATTATAGTATATTTATTTATAAGTCCAATCTTTACTTGTGTTTGGTGATGTTCCTTATGGTTCCAGTAGTGCAGATTTTTGCTTTGTTTAAGTTACGGTGTAAGTCATACTGATGGTCACAGTCTTTGGCCCTCATCAGTAAGGGCTTCAAGTCCTTTTTTATTTCAGCAAGTAAGGCTCAGTCGTCTGTATATTACAGATTTTTAATGAGTCTTTTCTCAATCCTGATACCACTTTATTCTTCCTACAGTACATTGCATTATTAGTAGATATTAACAGTTGTTAACTAATTTTCTAGCTAATGATAATTAAATATTTTCTTACCAGTTGATCAATCGACTCTTCTAACTTATTCTCAGTTTCCTCCTTAGTCTGTTCCTCCACAAGGGAATCTCTGTTTCAAGTCAAAAAGATAGAAGTGTCCAAAGTATCGCCTTAAAGAAACACAATAATAGTAACAAAGAATCTAACAGTTGAGTTTGTGTCTGGAAGTTCCAGAATTGTTACCAAGGTATGTCAAAGACTGATCATGGGTGTGGGCTCCATAATTCTTTAAGGACTCTAGTCAAAGAAAATTATGTCCTGCCCTTACTGGGTGGTGAGAAAACTGAAAATGGATACAAAACGCCGCATCTTTAATAAACTCTTTTAATTCCATTTTCCGTGAACCCTTTGAATTCATATATATATATGACTATAAAATGACTCTTATTTTTCAAAGTTTATTTCAAATATCACTTTATGGAAAATAATTCAAACCAACTCAGTCAAGCATCAATGTTACTTCTTATAATCACAAGATCTTTAATATAACACATGGCACCTTTTACTTAAAGATATAATTATTTTTATATATCTTCTTCACTCTAAGTTTTCTCCCTCTAAATGCACACATTTGGACTTAGTCTTTATTTCTAAGTACCATGGTTAGTTAATGTTTGTATTGATTGTATAGGACAACTCAACATTAGGAAGAAATCTCCTGTCCCAAATTGTTGTTTAGTATGATATGGGAGAGGGATAGGCAGGCTGAATTCTCCCTGGATGGGGGGACACAATATCATTTGGCTTGGGCCCAATTTAACTACCATAAGGTATCCTATGGCACCTTATGTGTCGGTTATCTTCTACCAAATGGGGCTAATAATAATAATACCTAACTCAGAGAGTTATTATGGGGTTGATAGGAATTAACCTTTGTCTGGCACATAGAAAATCTACATGTTTGTGAATAAACAAACAAAATAAATTGATAAATAAAATATCGGTTTTGTGATAATGCGCCAAGTATTTATGATACATTTCTATATTCATGGTTCCTAGAAAACTTTTCTAAAAGTAAATTTGGCTTAGTTCCCATCCATCCCTAATCAAAGTCACTAAATTATCCCAAAGCATAAAGCTAACTCTCTTATTTGCTTCCCAAGGTTATCTGGAAAAGACAAATGCTGTTGGTTTCTGTCAACCCAGGTCTTACCTGCCAAGAAATCCTTCTGCCAAGGAATCCATGCTGCACGATGTTCCTCTGCAAAAGTCTTATTCTAATGCATGTAGGTTAACTTTCACTTATGCTGCTTAAAGCTGCAAGAGAAATAATAATTTTACTCCTTCAGGAGAAATTTTAAACTATTCTCAAAGAAAATGGAAATCACATATGGTTTCATCATTCAAACAGAATCATAGACTACACTTTAATATACATTTTAATGTACTTATTATTGTTCGAAGCATAAGCATATTTTACTAATTTGTTGTCATATATTCTATCAAACATCTTTCATGTTCTTCCATCCCCTGAATAAACTTCCTCAATGTTCACAATATCTTTGACCATTTGCATAGAGTTAGACATTTAGATTGCTACCAATTGTTTTCCATTATATAATAATGGACATGTGATAAGCCCCATTAAGAATGAAGTTTTTCCTATAGTTATGATTACTCTCTTACAGTAAGTTCTAATAGGTCAAAAGATACAAATATTTTACATTTCTGTGTGTGTACTCTTCAATGGTATTCTAATAAGTTTATAGTAATATATTCCCCTATAGGTATATGAGTTTCCATCTGACACTCTTGATAGTACTAATTGTTTGGCTTCCATTTTCACTGAAAATAATTATATAGTCACTTTCTAAATATTGTATGGCTCTCTAACTTCCTAAAGTAGGTAAAATGTCACTTATAAGATAGTCAGTCACACCTTCTCTGGTTCCACTATCAACAGATATTATAGAAAAAGAAATTACCGAGGCAATACAAATTGAACTCAGAAAGGTAAACATAGTAGTATTAAAATAACATAGTTAACTATTCCAAGAACATATCTCCTAAAACGAGTCCCATTTAATTTCTTTTACTAAATGTTCAAGCCTCCAGGCTCCAATGCCTTCACCCAGTCTAGTCTCCCTTTCTGATAGCTATCAGAAGCAGTTCTATGTCCACGAGCAAGTAAAAAAGCTTTGATATAAAATAATTTTTTAAAAGTTTATTGAGCCAGAGTATCAAGATCGAAGCTGTTTTTCTACATATATTCCATCTAGATCTATGCATGTCTGCAAGGAGTGTCTCCATCTCTCTAACCCTTCCTGAAGAAGTATGCGCTCAATTTACATTGGCATCCTGGGAGAACTGCCACTGTGTTCCTTTAAATGTTCTGAGTCTGGGAACAGAAAAGGCAGAATGGGCAAGATCAGGGCTAGGGTGGATGGGGCTTCCCCAAAGACATTGTCACAGGGCAGACGTTGCTTCCCTCAGAGAAGAAGCAGGTGCACTGTTGCAGTGGGGGAAAAGATTCCGTGACACAAGTTTCCTAGCCTTTTTCTCACCAATACAGTTTCCAATTTTCTTCCTCATGAGCACCCCATGTCCTTTGAGAAAAATGATCAAGATGAACCCGTTAGGATCTCCACAAAAGTCATCATCACCTTCTGAGCTGACTCTTTGAATTGAACCAGCAGATCCCCTCAGAAATCACTGTTTGGGTTGGACCTTTTATTTGAAATTACCCTAATCAGATGGACAAGTGCATCACTTGAGAGAACTTGCCTACAGCCATCCACCGATCACAGTGACATGTGCAGACACATTTTGCCTAGAATAAATCTGTGCATATGTGAACTGGGCAACTAGTAGCAGTAATTTTGTACGTGCCCTTGTAATTCCAGAAAGTGTGAGAGCAAACGTAAAACTACTGCTAACAACTTTAGGTCTGAGCCGTAAATTGATGAGCAAAAATAAAGTGACGGCAACAGCATAAGTTAAACAGATCTAGGTGGGGAACCTTGCTGTCAGGCCTAAAACTGGAAGAAAAGTTTCTCATTGGTTATCTCTAGAACACTTATCTCTCACTCATGGGACAGCCTTCGTCTTTCTAATAGTTGGTTTACTATATACTTACTTACATGCTCCATCAACAATGAGGTAGGGGGCACATTGCTAAAAATCAATTCTGTACAAGCAATACCCAAATCAGAAACAAAATCTCTCAAGATCCTTGTTAGGCCATCTGTTAAACATTTGGATTGTATTGACTCAAAGATATGCTTCTTGTGATATGATGATTCTTGATATGGTGATTCTTGTTAGCTGCCCTGAGTTAGCTGCTAAACTGTGGTGACCCCATGCACAAAGGGGTCATACTACTGTGATCAGAATTCTCATTGCCTGATTTTTCAGACATATATTTTCAGTATACTCTTCCTAGTCAGGGGAAAAAAGGGAGGAGGAGGAGGAGAAGAGAGAGAGAGAGGTTGTTTGTGAGCAGTTTATCAGAAGATCTTGACAAGAGTGAGCTATAAGACCCCATAGTCAGTGTCAACATTTTGGCATTGACCATATTAGAAATATTTACCACAAGGTATGGAAACCTAAGAGCAACACATCAGTCATTTAAATGGATTTAAAATACGTTATTTACCAACTTGATAGCAGTGGGTTGGGGCTAGATTATCTATCTGTCTGTCTTTCTACCTACCTACCTATTTGAGATCATAATGGGAACACTGGCTATTTTGTCTCAGAATTAAAATGTATTCAAGGTATTTTACAATAGCCTCCCCTTGGTACATGAAGCAGAGAATCAAGGTTTTCTCACTGTAAATTTCAGGGGACACATTTATGGCCCAGGCCCAACACATCTTTCATAGATACCAAGTAAGGGATTCATGTTTGCATTCACCATATGAAACCCTCAAGGTTGCTTCCAATCCCAATTCTGCGATCTGATGGATAGAAATCAGAAAACCCTGGCCAATCTCTGGATCCAGACCTAAAATTAAAAAGGAAGTGTGCATGGACTTAAAACTAAAACTTTTCATAAATAACCCCTCTTGTAAAGTAAAATATCAGTGAATTTCCAGATACTATCTTTCAAGAGATTGACTGAAATGGTAACCATTTAAGCAGTGACCACATATAACAGGAATAATAAACACCAACTGGTTGGCTCATAATGTTCCTGCTGTGCCTAGGAGAAAGAGATGCAGTCTGATTCCAAATATGTACAAGAATGGAAACTCAGCAGGGCCGTTTTCCTGTCATGTAGGGCTTCCAGGAACCCTGTGACCAGAGCAAAGTCAAAATACAAGTCCATGACCAACATATTAACACCACGAGCTTTCCTCAAATGCCATTTCTGGAAATTAGTACAGAGAAAAAATTCTGTAGTCCAGGAAATTTTACTTGAATGCAATTGTCAAAATCAATCTGTGTCTAATATAACTTGTAACTTGACTTGTACCTACAATGCTTAAAAATTAGCCAACCAATTAAGAAGTCTGATTTCTTCTCAGAAAAAAGGTAGGCACATGGGTGGTGCAATAGGAAAGCACTTCGATGCTGTTGTCGATAACTTTCTGTCAACTTGAAGATGTATAAAAGTGTAGGGGTGGTATCCAACCTGTCGAGCCTGGTGGTGCCTTCCTGGGAGTGGCCTTCTTATAAGGAAGGCCCTAGAAACCTTCCCCTCTCTCTGCCACTGAGCCTGAGGCTGCCAGAGCCCTGTCATGTTTCCAGTAACCTTGGATACATGTGACTGTCCATCCACCAACCAGCAATCTTCCCGGAGTCTCTATCATTGCATGTGGCTTATGCATCTGAAGAGGGGCTGTGGACTAGTACCACACTTACTGACTCGGCTGGCATGCTTTCTTGATATATAACTACTGCCTGATATAAAGCTCTCCCTTATGCAGTGTCTCTGGATTTGTTTCCCGAGCCAACGCTGCCTAACACAGATGCTAACTGGAAAATTGTCACCAGCTTCTTATGGACCTTTCAGATAAATAGTGTCATTACTTTTCTCGGAAGTTAGCACAAGGCATTTTCAAATCATGTAACATTGAATAGAATAAAAGAGAGGATGCTTTTTGTAGAAAGGCAATTTCATTGAATATATTATATTCATGACAACTTAGAGGCATTTAAACATTCACCAATTTATCAGAATATATAGGTTGCAAATTTACACTAAAATATTTCACTATTGTATGTAGAGTTCCACTTATATACAGAGATTAGTAACATGCTAGTCAATCTTTGAACTTGATTGTGATTCTGTTTATTAAAGACAAATGGTTCGTTCTACCTACCTATACCATTTGTCCAAGGCTGGAAGCCCTTCTGAAACCTGTTCAGCAAACCAACGCCATGCAAGCCTCTGCTGACAGGTAAGTGGTGGCTGTGTTTACGGTGCACTGGCATAGAATCAGGTTTCACACATGGAAGGTGAGAATTTTACCAGTGAACTATCACTGCCCTCCAATCTGATGCTTAAAAACCAAACCTTCTCTGATGGGAAGCCTATTTCCCTTCACAGGACCCTTTAGGACAAAGTGGGATGCCCTGTAGGGATCCAGGGCTGTCATCCTTATGGAGTCACCGGCCATATGCTTCTCTCCTGGGTGCTGGTGCATTCTAATTGCTGACCTTTGGGTAGGCAGCCAAGCAACCACTGCACCATCATGGATCCTTGGTATAATGTGTCAGCCACACAAAGCTGTCCCCTAAAAAGCTAATGTAACACAGAGAGATCAAGAAGTAATGTCGAGACCTAATTGTTCTTCTTAATCCTTTTAGTCTGAGCATTTTATCATCAGTGACTACAGAAGAAGGGAGAAGTGGACTCATTTTTTTGCTGGGAAAAAACCCGACTGCAGGTTTATTCTAATTCAGAGTAAAGCAAAGAGCAGACTTGCGCTTAGGGTTTCTGATCATGTGCATCTACACTGAAACAGACACACTCATCTTCCTCCTGAAAAGTGGTTGCTCGGTTTGAACCACTGACTTAGCAGATAGTGGTCCAATGCTTAACTCAATATATGAGCAGGACTTAATTTATGGTGTAGGGGCTATAAAAAATGTCTTATAGGAATCATATGGAAAACAAATATTCCTAATTGTAGGAGCAATACTCTGTATTAGTCTCCACTAATTCTAACCTCCACAGAAAGTCTTGAGAGACTAGGGTCCAGTAACGCAATGCTGATGCTTCGCCTTAATTCAAACACAAATGTAAAGATACACACACACATATATATATATATATACACAAATTTTCTTCATTTAAAAGAGCTTTCTAACACCTCCTGATTTCTTGCTCATTTCTAACATCAAACATTTCTTGCTGTATTATAATATTACTCATATTTGTAAAAAACAAGCAGTAAAATGATATGTCTATTTAAATTTGCACTCCGTTCAAGTCCAGATGAAAGCTCAAACATACATGTAATAGTGCAGGAGAGAAAGACTGTATAAACATTCTAGGCCAGACCAATTTCATCTCTTTAATAACAATGTAAAGGAAAGGGTTACCCATTTAGGAATTTTAGGATTGTGACCCTAAAGATTTCTATAAACCTTAGTTATTTTAATAAAAAGTAACAGATAGGAAACATTTCAAGGCATACAAATGGTTGTTTTTCTATACAAACCAATCCCCTCATTACCAGAATTTAAAAGCCCAGACATGAATACAGCTACCCCCTCTGAAAAGCCCCCCTTCAGTTGGTGGCTGCTGACACAGATGACAGGGAGGCTGAACAGGAGGGAGTAATCTGTAGATGATGGAGAGAAAAATCCTCTGCCAAAGAGGCACAGGGGATCGAAGGCCTCTGCTAACAGTTACAGTGCTGAGTGGGAAAAAGAAAAGAGCAGTGGAAATTAATTACTCAATAAGTCAGAAGATAATTGGATCCTGATTGAAGAGAGTTAAGAAAGGTTAGTGGCTTTCCAATTCAACCTGTTAAAAATACAACCTGAGAAGAATCTCTGTGCCGAAGGGTTTTCCAGAAGAGAGGACCATCAGCCCCATCATTTCCCAGGAGCTGAGCAGATATGAGTGACACACAGTAGCAGCGAGTACAGCAGCGTGGCACTTTACAGGCTCCAGCAGGGAGGATGGCATGAGTGCCTAGCAACCAACAGGAAGCAGTCAGCCTGAAATGTTACCACAGTGCTTTGAGAGATGATTCTAGAAGAGGCTGAAGGAAACCCTTAAAATCCAGGTTGATATGTGGAAAAGAGTCAATCTAGTTTTATTTACTGTATACATTACTATAGATTTTGTCAGCTGGAAACTGAAAATTTACTGAGGCACTGCTCTTGCCCCCAATTCTACTTTGGTAATAAAAATCACACTCAGTGCCATTGAGTCAATTCTGACTCCTGGTGACCCTACGGGACAGGGTAGAACTGCCCCTGTGAGTTCCCGAGACAGTAACTATGTGAGCAGAAGACCTCACCTTTTGTCACTGTGGGTGGTGGTTCTGACTGCTGGGATGCTGGTCCAATGCCACCAGGGCTCTAAATCGAGTCCTACCTGATCTCAACTCTAAAACACACTGCCATCAAGTGGATGGCATCAACTCTTGGTTACCCCATGGAACAAAGTAGAATTGCTTCCTAGAGTTCCTGAAGCTGTACATCTTTACAGGAAACAGACTGCCTCTATTTTCTTCTGGGTAGCCATTGGGGTGGGGAGCAGGGAAGGGGTTGATCACTGCCTTGCAGTTAGCAGCACAATAATTAACCCACTGCACCACCAGAGCCCTTGGTTGACCTCAGAATAAGCTGAAATTCAGTGTCAATTTAGGGCGCAGTTCAGAAATGGAAGTAATTTTATCTGCAGGCAAAAAAGAATCTGCATTATAGCTATAGGTTAAAAAAATAAAATATCTATTATTTTAATGCAGAAAATAAAATGCTGTTGCCATATGTTTAAGGTAAAACATCTCCTTCCCTTATTGGCCCTTTGAGCTCCCAGCTCCTATTCCATTTGTATCCATTGAAATTGTAACAAACTATTTTAACTTGAAAAAGTTTTCCCCACATTATCAAAATTGTTGTAACTTAGTCCCATAATAGCAGGCTCAGATCTCATTTATAATTTTTAATTATTCATTACATATTTTCCATGTGCTACTTATTATCGCCTTAAATTGTATATAACCCACTCAAATAGTAATTTTTACTAACTCATCTGAGCAAGTTTGGGGTTGACTTGTCAAGACATATTTCAATATATGGTTGGAAGTTCCATGAATTTCCTACCCATGTCAACTCTGGCATTTGGGGATTCCCAATGCCAGGTGGAAGAAGAAAACGAAAGTGTACAAAACATTAAGAACCAAGATCATATTTGGTCAGTGCTCAACCTCATGGGAAATTAACATCTTTGTGCTTCCATTTCTGCTTCCTAAAAATAGGGATAGTGATGGCACCTACTGGATAGAGTCGTGAGAATTAAAATTTGTTCAATGTTACAAGACAGCGCCAGGCATATGATAAGAATATATGAATGTCCCTCTATTATCATTTAGCTATGTTTAGGTTAGGTTGCTTTTTGTCTAATTCTCCATCTTGATGAGGAGTTGCTATTATACTGAAAATAATGCTAATCATGACTTTTCAAATATATTACACATTGTGTAAGTACCAGAATATTCTGTACAAGCTGTCGGAACACTATAGGTCTATGAGTCAAAATTAACTCAAAGAGCAATGGGTTTATTTTTCATATGAGTGATTTAATTAACGGTTTGTTTGTTGGGAGGTCATTTGTTTTTTATTTTTGCCACTATAAACAATCTTGTACTACACAACTTCAAATGCCTAACTTGATAACATTTTGCTAGCTATTTTAAAAGGCCTGGCTTAGCACATCAGCATGGAATTTAATGTACTCCAGAAATTCAGGCTATGTTGACAAGTAAACCCTCTAGACATCGTCAGCTATCTCTTCCATGAGACTTTACCTGTCTCTTTCCACTAGAATTCTAAATAACTCTCAATGTTCAGGTGTCAGCTTCAATGGCTATCTATGAAGCGTGTAGAACCCACGTTAAAGGGACAGGGCACTGTCTAGAAATAACAAAACATCGTTGAGGAATGGGCGTTCATTAGTGATTATGCCTGCAGTCAAGCCACGAGTCTTATTGGTAGTTTGTCGACCATTATAGCGAGTGTTATGTCCTTCAGTACCCCAGAGTGGTTAGTTCACATCTATTACTGTATATAATCATGTATCAGCAGAGTTTTTCAGCACATTTTTAATGTAGTTTTTCTGGTAAACTTAGGTGCCTCGGCTTATATTCGAGTATATGCGGTAGTCAGTTCCAAGTAGATTAGAATGGTCAAAGGTTCACACCAAAGAATGTTAGGTGTACCATCATTTTTTAATTAGTAGTGTTAAGAATTAATAAAATATTCTAAGTAGCTTTCTAAATTTCTGTTTATTTTTTCAACTCTGTCTTGGTGCTTCCAGAAGATTATTTAAAACCCAAAGCCAAATCCACTGCCATCTAATCCATTCTAACTCACAGACACGCCATGTTATGCAATAGAACTGAACTACATACATTGGGTTTCCTTACCTATTGAATTTTTTTTTTTCTGTAATGCTGAGATTTATTATTTTTTT